TAGAATGGGTTGTAAAAATGAAATATATTTTGAGATGATTTTACATGCCATTGATGTCTTTGATATTGGTAACTGCCATGACATTACATTTTATGTTATCACATTGAGTAAACAGAAAATATTTTACATTGGAGCTACATACCCATTACCTAGACCCACATCTATCTATCTATCTATCTATCTATCATTATGAATATATATATTTTTAAAGGGTATATGAAGTGGTCTGGGTACTATGTCTCCTGCAACTGAAAACGTTGCTGTTCTCCAGGAACGACAATGTTTACATTGCTAGGTTAAAATGCCTCACATTGACAGCCACTTGGGGCGCTACAGCCAAAATAGCTGAGTGAAACTCAGCGATTTCACTGATCTGTATGGTGCATTTTGACGTGCATGCACAATAACCTCCAAATGATTTCCTCTGGGGAAGCGTTAGATTGGCTGAGATCATCAAGAGTGATTGTAACAAAAAGAACAGTTTCAGCAAAGACTTGTGGATTAAAATGCAGTTCGGGACTTTACAAGCATTCTCCATTCGAATGCTTGCTAAGTACTAACAGGCCACCCTGACTCTAAATTGAGAGTAATTTACCTCCCTGCTTGATGGGCATTTTCATGGAAAAAACCGCACGAACGCTATGGGAACTGTATGCACGGCCTCCATTTCGGGACTTCCACGTGTTCGCGGCCATTTTACCTCCTGAACAGCGGTGTTTGCCGTCGAGTGTCTGGAACTAAAATCGGACACTCAAATAGGCGAACACCGCTGAGACCTCCATACCTTCGGGAGAGACACGCCAAAACTACCGTGTAAAGGATCCTTGCATTCGTGCAGTGATGATCCTTGCAGCTTCTCCCGAAATCCAACTGAAACGAAGTGATTATAACTCCCAATCCCCCAAACATGAGTCGAGACTTCAGGAAGGGGTAAAACGATCTGATTTACTGTGGGCTACCCGCCCGGTATTTATGCAGGTCTTCCACCTGGTGGACACTCCCCTAAGGGACCAGATGGAAGACTGGGACAAAAGTAACACAGTAGCCAATCACAGTGGCTATAGCATAAGCACTCCCCTTTTACATAAATCACTCCCTCTTTTCCATCCTGGAGATAATTAACTTAAGGTAGCAAAGAGAGCCTTAATTATCTCCAGGAAGAAAGAAGCATGGCTTTTCTTATTTAGCAAAACAGAATAAAAATATATAACTTTCTTTTTACACAACATAACCTTTAAGTTCCACCTATCCCCAGATAGCTTGGATCTGAGGGCATATTCTAGGCAAATAGCGCTCAGATCCCATGAACACAGTTCTCAGAATCGTCGAACGAAGTTTGACTTTCACCGGCCGTTCGTGTGTTTGAGCCGACTGCAAGTTCCATACTATAGCTATCTGGGGTCGGCCACTTTCGCATTTATTGTTATTTCCACGAAATCCCGCTGTAATTCTCCAAATAACCGAACAGGCTTGTTCGTATAGTCTGTAAATAGGGGATTTCGTTTCATACCGAATGACAAGGCAAGTATTTGGGGTACATCCAAACTTTGGGAAAAATATGTTCCTTTTTAATTATGTTATTTAGTTATCTAAGGGGAGGAAATGTACAGAATGTATATTGTCTTGATTGGTTATACTGTTAATTATGTGGGTGTCGCCCTTGCATGGGCAGAATCACATAAAAAAGAGTGTCTGTCAATAAATCCTTAGTTCTTTTTGACCCTTCAAAACATAGCCTCGTCTCGAAAGGGGAATCTCTGCAGCATAATCACTCAGCTCTTTTCAGAGCTGCACTTGACTTCTACTCCTGATCCAGCAGAAGGGAATAGGCGACTCCATCACTACACAGCGACTTGACGGGAAAAAAAGGATGTCCCCAACGGCTGATACCCTCACCATACCAGGGTAGCCGTTACAGTGATGATCTCAGTCAAACAGCAGGGGTCAGCCGCAATAAGAGTGAGAAAATAAAGGTAAACTACTTTTTTCATAAACTCTGGGGGTAGGGGGTAGGGCAGTAAACTAATGTGATACAGGACCATATAGCCAATATAGCATTATGAATATATATTTGTATTCCTAATGCTCCTTTAAGCAACTAAACTACCCCTTGCACATACAGTGAAGGATTACCTGCCATTGCTTTGCATGATTATACACCAGAACACAATTCATGATCAAGTTTGTTTATGGTTCTACGGAGGCTGTATTACATACATTTTAAATTGGAGTGACAACAGAATATATACTTTAAAAATCAAAACCTGAGTATATATATATATATTAGTAAACAGTTCTGATCTTTTTTTTTTCTTAGTGTTTAGATCCACCTTTTGCACGTGTGAATATAGCTTCTATTTGTTTCAGAGAAGTTCTACACCTCTACATGACAGAACTAAAAGCACAGTGTACGTCTGTGATGTGGATATCAGCAGCTAATTTAGCTCAGAGAAAACGTGAGTTTGCCCAAGGGGACAAAAATCCAGCGGGTCTAGTCACCATCTTGGAGTTAAGAGAAAATTATCATGAAGGATGAGGCATTATGAGAAACATACATGAAATGGCTGCAAGTGATGTTAAGCAAATTTTCCTAAACACTGTCTGGCATATAGGGTAGTAATAGTAATAGTGTAGTAATTGTAAAAACAACAATACATTTGTATATTTGGTGCTTAAGTTTTCTTGTAAATGTTTTTTAAATAAAATTGAACGCTAAATATCTTATAGTGTAGTGTTCCTTTAAAATGCATAAATAAAACATTTAAAGGGATGATGTAAACAACACAACCATTACATTGCATTGCTATCCTTGTGAAAGAGGTATGTAGAGAAACCATGGAATGGAAGGCAAGACAGTGAAATGGAATGTGGTAGCACAAGTTATATGCGCAGAAGCTTGAGGACTGTTGTAATGAGAAAAGGTACCTTGGAAGATGGATTGAAAAGAGCAGAAGCTAGATTGATGAGGTCAAGTAGAGGTTTAGAACTGAACTGGTTAGACAGGTCTATACAAGTTGTCCAGAAACCTTATTATTGTATTTGTGCTGTATAGCTTATATTTATAAAAATAAAAATGAATTTAGAAAATCATAAAAGCCAAAAAAAAGCTTCCACCACCAATCGTGTCTAGCATATTAATTGACTTTTTTAGTTATAGAAGTTACAGGGGGAGTTTTTAAAGAAGATTCTGGTTTCAAGCTTTTAAAGGGACACTACAGGCACTATAACTATTTCATCTAATTAAATTGGTTATAGCACCTGGAGGCCCCTGGTACTTACCCTCTGGATTATTCTTGACTTTTGTATTTGGTTAGCTGAAAGTGCAGACATTAAATGTATCCAGATGCCTTTTGGCAATTTTCTCTCCCCTACCTCCTATTTATGGTGTGTTAACTATATTTTGACTATGTTTTTGTGGTACACACTCATGTGGTCTTTTTTCTGCCTTGTATTTATATTCTTATAAGTTATAATCTGTTATGGAACGTCCACGTGGTTTTGTAGTTGTCAGCTGAGAATGGTTCAAAGAATTATTGTTTTTATTTATTTTTTACTGTTTGCTTCACCTTCTTGCGGGTGTATCTTGCCAAACATTTGACATGTTTGTTAAAGGAACACTATAGTATTAGGAATACAAAAAAAATACAAAAATACTCACCTTGCAGAACGCGCCGAACCAGCCTGCATGATGACCGTCCCACCTCTTTAGATGAGATCATCAATTCTGATGATTGTAGCCAATCCAATGCTTCCCCATAAGTAAGCATCTGGACTTTAGTGCACTATGCCAATCAAATATTCTATATCAGAGTCAATTATTTGAATAACCAAGTCTGACTGTTATTCAGCGAAAGTGTCACTAATGTCTATGAATACGACAGTCACTAGAAGTGTGTTGTGTGTTAACCCTGCAATGATAACATTGCCGTGTCTATTTACATTGTTGTGTTAAAATTAAAGGGCCACATCCCCCAGACCACTTCAATTCGATGAAACCTTTAGCAGTCCTTTAAACCCAGGAACCTCTTTCCTTTTTCCATTAAGCTGTCTCAGTCTCTGTGTGCAAGGACCTGTATTACTTTCAGAGTTATTTACTGGCGTGAGGATTTATGGTAATTCTAAATTAATTTAAAGTGAATTTTAAATTTAAGGTTGACGTAGCCAAACTAGATTCTCCAAGTCAGCTATTTTAATTTGGCCTTAAATTTAAAATGTATTTTGAATTAACTTTGAGGTCATGACAATTTTTATTTTATTGAATAACCCTGGTTGTTTTCACTAAACATATTTCAAAAGAGATCTATATCTTGTCACTCTCATCGGTAATATCATTTGTTCCTTTTCCATATCTTTTTTATTTATTTTTTTATCTCCACTAAAAGACTATTTACATTGCTATTTTGTAGTATTTTCCTCTTCATACTGAGGGCTAGACAAAGTTCTTTCAGCTGTTATAGAAATATTGTGTATTGACCTTTTTTTAGTGTTTCGTCTGCATTGCGTTGTTTATGACAACACTACTCAATAAAAAGAAATCACAAGAAAATCCTTCTTAGAAACATGGTATATATAGCTGTAATTTATATACATGGAGTGAGTCATTGCAGTTCAGTAATACTTAAAAAAATATATCTACATTAATGCAATTTTCTATTTTTATTTATCCATATTTTGAAGATACATTGTTTAAGGCTTTACAGCATCCTTTGCCTTGGCATAATTGCTCCAATACCTTTTTTTAGTAACATACTGTAGATGTTTAAAAATGTTTTTTTTTTTTTTTAATTCTTTACTTTTGCAGGTGGTATTACATGTCAGAGAAAGTTTTTTAAAGCATAGAATAGTGCATATATATATATATATTTGGTTACAGTGACAATTTTGACATTTCATACACCTGTTTTTTGTTTTTTAGATTTGGCTAGTCAAATATGTTAACAACAATACCTCTCACAACAAGCGTGCAACAATAACTCGTAGTCAGGGAAACTGGGTTTGTGTTATGCGCCCTGTAGTTGTGTGTAATGGGCCTGTCTCGTCACATTCGGGTGTGAATGGCTAAGTCCGTCGCTATAGTTTGTCGATATAGAGGGAGACTGGTAGTCGTCTATAGGGTATGCTCTCGTTTCTCGCCTATGGCTAATGAGTGTCATCTTCCAGTCAGTATGTCGAGGGTCTAGGATCAGCCCTGGGTTGTGGAGGTTGATCTGAACCCCTAACCTATGGGGTAATGGGGGGGAGGGGTTTGTAATGGGTTAGTCGTCAATGAGAGTCTTTGATGGCATTCTTCACAGTTTGGCACAGACTTTTTCGGGGTTGAGTAAATCGTGGGATAGGTGTGTTGCATAGTGTAGAGGAAGATGCTTTTCTGTTGATTTGTTCTTTCATGTCACGGCATTTAGTCCACTTCTTGGCGCAAAGGGCGTGAAGTTGTCCACGTCCCAGGTGCTGATGGTGGCTTGAGCCCCCTGCTCCGGCAGGCCAATCCTATCGCTGTTAGGAAGGTGGTGGCTTCCAATCCTATCGCTGTTAGGAAGGTGGTGGCTTCCGCCACATCTGTGGCCTTGTGTTGCTTGCCGTCTTTGATGACTGTAAGGGCCCTAGGGGTAGTCCATTCATACGGTATTCCTGCCTCTTGAAGTCGTGTTGTTATGGGTTTCATGGTTTTCCTCCATATCAAGGTGGAGCGATGCATATCATAGAAGATCAATATTTTTTGCAATTCAAATTCCAGAGGTGCTCTGTCCTGGGCTGCTCTCATCAGTGCTTGTTTATCTTGTCGTGTCCTGCAGCGCAGGATTATGTCCCTTGGGGCTGTGAGTGGTGCCTTAGGGGATTTGGCGATGCGGTATGCCCCATCGGTTACAAATTGTTTGGCTAATTTTGCTGGAAGCAGTGTGTTTACTAGCCTCCTGATATAGTGGGGAAGTTCTTCTGATCCCACGTTATCTGGGACCCCTCTTATCTTCAAGTTCTTCTGGCGGGTTCTTTCATCTAGGGCATCCACTTTCAGTGTCAGGGTGGAATGTAGAGCTTGTAGTTGCCTGACCGAGTCTCCCACTATTGCCAGATTGTGTTGTAGGTCGGTGATGTCTGTTTCGGAGGTTTGGACGTGGGTTGTGACCGTTTGTACTTCTGCCCATACCGCGGCCATGTCTGCTGCGAACAACTGTTGTATTTTGACAAAGAGGTTGTCAATGTCTAACTTTGTCGCTGGGACCAGGTTTGCTGGGGTAGACGTGGCTGGGAACCTATCTGTGGGAGACCCTGGGGTGTCTGCCATCCTCCTCTCTGCTTCTTGGGTGTCAGAGGCCTCAGCTTTGGCCTGATCTTGCCCCCTGTGTTTGGGTGGGTGTTGGAGCAGAGTGCCTATGTCTTGTGTTTTCCATGGTTTTTGTACCTGGGGTTTTGGGGTCTTCTTTCCCATAGCTGCCAATTCTTGGGGCTGTGCCTCCCGGTCCTCAGGTGTTTATCCAGTCCTGATCCCACCAGGCCGCAAAGGCATTCGTCGCGGTTTTCTGGCCGCATGGGAGGCCCTGTGGGGCCGGCGTTTGTGTTTCGCACCCGGCGGCTGAAAAAAAGGCCTCTGTTTTTCCCTTCCCTACTCCTCCAGCTGTTGCTTGGCCCCAGGTGAGTTGATGGCTGCCAGGGGTATGGATATTTGGTGGGTTTCGCCGTGAAAGTTGCGGAGCTCCCGAAATGGCGTCTGTGCCGGATTGCCGCTAAGCCCCGTCCCTCTGTGGCAATTTTTATTGAATTACACCAAGTATCTGTGCTATAAAGGGCACAGAAATCTGTTATTGCTGTTAGTAAAGAATGAATATAGTATATTTAAAGCCCTCCATCCTTTTCTCCCCATACTTGAATGCCTGCAAATATTTTTTAGAGTGTGTGAGGTGTGAGGGGTTCCATTTACAGTTCCTCTGCACAAACGGTTTTCTCTACGTAGTAGATCAAAGTAAATGAAGCATTATATTGTTTTTCTATTGCTTTATGATGCAAAATTAAAGTTAGTAGGAGTTTAATGTTTTAGATATTTTTTTCAATTATTTAATATTTCTGAACGAACTTTTCACATTTTTTTAATATATTGATAAATTTTATATATTAAATAAATATATTTTATAGAAGAGATATATTTTTTGATAACTTAACATTTTGGAAAAAAATATTTTAAAAGCATATCCAAAAATATTAAATAAATATAAGGCCTTAACTTAGTATTTTTGGATAAGCTTTAAAAATTATTTTGTTTTCAAATTATTAAACTATTACAAATATATAATACTTCAAAATATATCTATATCTATCTATCTATCTATATATATATATATATATATATATATATTTAGATAAATATAAAAAGATATTAAAAAAACTTTTCTAAATATTAAATAGTTCAAAAAGCATATCCAAAAATATAAAATCAAGACCCAAGTTGGAAAATGTAAAAGAACAATTTAACATAGGAACTTGGAATGTTAGAACTATGAACCAAGGCTAATTGGATGTGATCAGACATGAGATGACAAGGTTAAACATTGATGTACTGGGAATTGGTGAACTCAAAGGGACTGGAATGGGCCATTTCACATCAGACAACCACCACATCTTCTACTGTGGTCAAGAAGAAATGGAGTAGCCATCGTAGTAAATAATCGGGTGAGCAAAGCAGTGCTCAATAAATGACAGAATGATTTCAATTCGAATTCAAGGCAAGCCATTTAACATCACAGTGATCCAAGTTTATGCTCCAACCATGGATGCTGAAGAGGCTGAAATTGTCCAGTTCTATGAAGATATTCAACACATGATATATATAACACCAAGAAAAGATGTTATTAGAGACTGGAATGCGAAAGTAGCAAAAATACACCTGCAATAACTGGCAGGTTTGACCTTAGAGTGCAAAATGAAGCAGGTCAGAAATTTGTAGAATTCTGTCAAGAAAATTCTCTGGTCATAGCAAACACCCTCTTCCTCCGAGACGACTCTACACATGGACATCCCCACATGGACAATATAGAAATCAGATTGACTATATACTTTGCAGTCAAAGATGGAGGAGCTCTATACAGTGAGCAAAAACAAGACCTGAAGCTTACTGTGGCTTGGACCATGAGCTTCTCATTGCAAAGTTCAGAAAACTGAGGAAAAGAGGGAAAACCATCAGACCAATCAGATACAACTTAAATAAAATCCCTTGTGAATATGCAGTGAAAGTAAAGAATAGATTTGAGGGACTAGACATGCATGATAGAATGCCTGAAGAACTTTGGACCGAAGTTTGCAATGTTATCCAGGTAATCCACAAAAAGAAATATCCCCAAAATAAAGAAATCTAAGAAGGCAAACTGGCTATCTGATGAGGCTTTAAAAATAAACCAGGAAAGAAGGAAATCGAAAGGTAGTTGAGGTCGGAAACAATTTGTCCAACTGAATGCAGAATTCCAAAGGATATCAAGAGACAAGGAGACATTCTACAATGAGCAATGTAAAGAGCTAGAAGAAGATAACAGAATGGGAAAGTCAAGAGATCTATTCAAGAAAACTGGGTTATCTTTCATGCCCAATTGGGTGTGATAAAAGACAAAAATGGCAGGGACTTAACAGAAGAAGATCAGATAAAGAAGAGATGGCAGGAATACACTGAAGATCTATACAGGAAGGATCTTAACAGCAGTGATGACCTCAATAGTTGGTGCAATGAGATGGAACCAGAAATCTTGGAGATCGAAGTGAGATGGGCCCTAGGATGCCTTGCAGATAACAAGGCTGCAGGAGTTGATAAAATCCCAATTGAACTATTCAAAATTCTGCAAGATGATGCTGTGAAACTTCTGCTTGTCTTATGCCAACAAATTTGGAAAACTCAACAGTGGCCAAAAGACTGGAAAAGGTCAGTTTACATTCCAATCGCAAAAAAAGGCAATGACAAAGAGTGCTCCAATTATTGAACAATTTCACAAATTTCACATGCCAGCAAGGTAATTCTTAAGATCCTACAAGCTCAACTCAATCAATATATGGACCAGGAATTACCAGATGTACAAGCAGAGGACGAGATCAAATTGCCAATGTACGATGGATAATAGAGAAAGCCAGAGAGTTCCAGAAAAACACCTGGTATGCCCAGTAGTAACACACGGATGTGAGAGCTGGACTACAAAGAAGGCTGAGCATTGTCGAATTGATGCCTTTGAACTGTGGTGTTGCCGAAAACTGCTTAGAATCCCTTGGAATACAAAAAGATCCAATAAATCCGTACTACAGGAAATCAAGACAAACTGTTCATTGGAAGCTATGATCATGAGGCTGAAGCTAAAAATATTTTGACCATATAATGAGGGGCAGTGACTGACAGATGTACCTGGTGTGCTATGGTCCATATGGTCACGGAGAGTCAGACACGACTGAACGACTAAGCAATAACAAGTTGGAAAATGTGTTATGTAAAGTATACAGGTGTAACTTTTTTGGAAACTAGATTAAACGTTTGTAAAATACCAAAATTAGTAAAAATAAATTTCAGAATTTTTGGGAAGTACTATAAACCATTTACAAATAGAAGCCATACCTGCAAGTTATCATGACTACAGGCAAAGTATAAGCAACTACCCCAATAAATCACACATTTCAGGTGTACATACATTAGACGGAATGTTGAAATGGAGCTGTCTAATTAATTAATTGATACATAGATCCCAGTTTTGCACCAATTATGCAAGCTGTGAACCCCTACATCGCTTATTTTATTTTTTATTTTTTTATTTAAAGCCCTTTCATTTATTGCAAATATTGTTCAGATTCAGTTATCTTAGTTACTTATTTTTCTCCTTTGCTGCAAAATGGCTTAAAACAAAATCCTATTGTAAACTCACAGTATCTAGAAGCAAGCAAGATTTTAATACACTGCCCAACTCATCTATTAGGTTTCCATGAGATATCTGAAGACAGAAAGATTTGATGTGGCTTTATACAAAATATCATTTGTGTTCTTTCCCCGACAACTGACAGACGTTTATACGGAAAGGTAAATGCATTTGGGTTTCTTCAGCAGAAAATAATTATGTGAACTGCTACAAAAAAAAAAGTACGAAAAAAAACAACAACTGAAACACTTTTTCTAATGTAATATATCACTGAACTGTAGATATACTATGAGAATGGAACGGGAGGTGTACAAGCTGTTCATCTGTCCGTGCCAACGAAGAACAGAA